CATGTATTTGATTGTGTTTATCTGTAGTTAGTTACACGAATTCAGATATGGGATGAAATCGGATAGGGATGAACGAGTTTAAGAGTTTTTAAGAGTTTAAGAGTTTTTAAGAGTTTAAGAGTTTTTAAGAGTTTTTAAGAGTTTTAGCCAAATGCTTTATAATATAGTATAGATAAAGAGTAAATTACGTTTTTTAGTTCCTATGGTTTGTTGAAACTATCTATTTTAGTCCATGTATAAAATTAAGATTTTTATCCTCATGATTTGTTATTTATTCACTAGAAGCGTACTCGTGCAATACAACGAGATACATTTCGATTTTAATATTTTATTTTATTTTGTATACGTTGATGTTATAATACGATTTTATATGGTACTGAAAAAACGATAATGTTTTTATTTTTTTAAATAAATATATATTTGAAGGTATTATAAAAATTTGAAAAAAATACCGATTTTAGTATCAAATTGAATATTTAAAAGTTCTTGTTTTTTTCTTATAATTTAATTTAGATTTAATAATGAATTCATTTATTTTTGGTTTAATAATATAATCTTAATTTTTAAATTTGTGTAACTAACTGTAAATAAACATAATCAAATACAAGATAAACATTTATTTTAAATATCTAAAATATAATTAAGATAATCATAACAGAATGTTTTAATTATTATCTTTATAAAAAATTATCTATACTATATTATAAATCATTTGACAGAAAATCTTAAAAATTATTTTTTATACATGAAATACTATTTATTGATGCATATTACTTAAAATTCAAAATTACAAGTAAATTGTACGTAAGTACAACTTATTAAAGTTTTATGTTTGAATTCGTGTAACTAATTTATGGATAAATATAATTAAATAGAGGATAAACATTTGATTTTAAATATAAAAAATTAAAATATAATTAGGATAATCATTGAGTTTTAATAAAATATAATTATTATCTTTATAAAAAATTATATTATTAAATAAAAAATAAAAATATGAAGTAAAAAATACACAAAAAATGAGAAATTATATTTTTCAAATTTATATTTCATTTAAAAATAAAAACATTATCGTTTTCTCAAGCCACATAAAATCGTATTATATCGATAAAAGACAAAGAATAAAATTAAACATTAAAATCGAGATTTATCTCGCTGCATTACGCGAGTATTTTTTTAAGATTGAATTCCGGTTAAAATGAATAGTTCAAATTCTATTCTAAAAAGCAATTCATAGATTGTTTGGGATTATAAGTGATCAACGATATATATATATATATATATATATATATATATATATATATACTAGAAGCGTACTCGCGCAATGCAGCGAGAT